GTTGTTGTTGTTGTTGTTGTTGTTGTTGTTGTTGTTGTTGTTGTTGTTGTTGTGGTCGTGGTGGTCGTTGTTGTTGTTGTTGTGGTTGTGGTTGTGGTTGTGGTTGTTGTTGTTGTTGTTGCTGCTGCTGCTGCTGCTGCTGTTGTTGTTGTTGTTGTTGTTGTGGTGGTTGTTGGTTGTTGGTTGTTGGTTGTTGGTTGTTGGTTGTTGGTTGTTTGTTGTTTGTCGTTTGTCGTTTGTTGTTTGTTGTTTGTTGTTTTTGTTGTTGTTGTTGTTGTTGTTGTTGTTGTTGTTGTTGTTGTTGTTGTTGTTGTTGTTGTTGTTGTTGTTGTCGTCGTCGTCGTCGTCGTCGTCGTCGTCGTCGTCGTCGTGGTTGTGGTTGTGGCTGTGGCTGTGGCTGTGGCTGCGGTTGCTGTTGTTGTTGTTGTTGTTGTTGTTGTTGTTGTTGTTGTTGTTGTTGTTGTTGTTGTTGTTGTTGTTGTTGTTGTTGTTGTTGTTGTTGTTGTTGTTGTTGTTGTTGTTGTTGTTGTTGTTGTTGTTGTTGTTGTTGTTGTTGTTGTTGTTGTTGTTGTTGTTGTTGTTGTTGTTGTTGTTGTTGTTGTTGTTGTTGTTGTTGTTGTTGTTGTTGTTGTTGTTGTTTTACCCCGCGTGCCATCAGGAATTGGTGAGGACTCGATTTTCTGCGAGCCATGCCATTTGGACAGAGCAACTAATGTCAGTCTCTTTTTGCATTCCTTTTCATCTACATGCCCAGTCACAATGCGAACGCCTGTTCTGAGGACTCTGTCTTTGTGTTCACCCAAGTTGTCGTGTTCAGATAAATCACTGCAGGATTCCCCCAAAAAGCCCACCACTCAGACGGTTGGTTTCTGACCAGAAGTTGCATTGCCAACGCTTGCCTTCGTGATGGCGTCATAGAAGACATGGCCCAGGTGTGACCCGCAGCGAGTGCAAACGATCTCCAAAGCGCCGGTGCCGTCTGGCTGTCCTAGCACGTGTTGCCCAAGGTCGTTCGAGCTGTAGCCTTGGATGGGTCGCTTCAAACAATTGCAACACTCACAGTCTCTGTGTCTCCGTGTCTGTTTCTTTCTTCTTTTTTTCTTTCTTTCTTTCTTTTTCTTTTCTTTTCCTTTCCTTTCCTTCCTTCTTTCTTGCTTTCCTTCTCTCTCTCTCTCTCTTAACATGAATATATAAGTTGTAGGACTCGCTATTGTGCCCTTCGAGCTGGTATCGCTCACCCTTCCGCTTCACATTGCTTGACATATCTCTTCCGAGCTACTAAGTGTTCAAGGAGACAAGGACTGCCTAGCAAGCTGGGGCCCGTGCACTTGTCGAAGACAGGCCAGCCGCAAGTTGACGCCTAAGTGACAATTGCATGCCACGCAGGACTGTGGAAGAAGCGCTAGTCAAGCTAAACGCCGATCCGCAATTCCACTGGTTTCCATGAATCGGAATCGCTGAAAAGGGATTCAACACCGCTCGGTGGGCCCGCCCCTTCGACGAACTCGTCAAGCTGCAAACTTGGATTCGGCGGAGTAGAGCGGCAAGCCGCACGCGCCACAAGAAAAATGGCCGGCCTCACACAGCACTCCTGTGAAATTCATTCTGCGGCTGGTTGCTTGAGACATCACCCCCCCCGCCTTGACAGATTTGATATTTCAATACTCAACTCCCCCAATAACCTCAAGCGATTCGGCCAGCTGATGCATGAGGGGCGCTCACATATATGAATGCGAAGTGCCATCATTATTCCTTCATCAAACGCGCGAGCAAATGTCTCTGGGCTGTTGTCACTGATATTGTCTTGGCTCTGGCTCGTTTGTGTGGGTCGCCATGTCACCAGAACTAGGTGGACAAATAAACAACTCAAAGTTCAACGTGCGGGCCCATTCATAGCCTTTGTGTCCCGAACTCGAACCACACTTTGGTTTGAAGCGCAAATCGGCGCACATCTCCTGCCATAAGGCGGAGGGGTAGTCCATTTATCTAGTCTTCCCCATGAAGGGAAACATGGAACATGACATCAGGACGAAGGCTTATGCCTCTTCCTGGATCTGCAAAGCCATGGGTCACCCGCGGATCGAATCTCCAATTCCGTTTTGCGTGGTAGGAGTGGACGGTCAATTCTCACCCTCTTTAATTTTAAAGTACTTTAAAGGTTTTGGAGTGTGAACATTCGACCGCGAATGACCCAGCAACACCGTACAGGATTCTAGGGGGAAAGGGCTGTTTTCTGAGAAGGCCCAATAGGCGCAATTTTTGTCCTGGCAGTGTAAATGGAATTCCAGGGGGGTCAACCCTTCCCCCAATTCCATGTTTGAGGGGCTGGGGATACGCAAATTGTCGACCTCAAATGCGTCCCATGTAAATGGCTTGCTCGACTCGAGAGAGCAATCTCATGGAAATGCCGTGGCGTTCAACTGGATGCATCCAGTGGCGAACGACAGGTCGTTAGAATGCGGCTGAGAACTCATGCAAATCTGACTCGCGGCAATCAACGGGTGCCACGTGCTCCATGTTTGCGCGATGTCATGCGGATTTTGCGCTCTGCTTCATAATTAGTTCAAGCGGCTTGCGCGCTCTGCGCCGATCGCACTCACTGTCCTGTTTCTGCTGTTGTGCATGCCTCGCTTTCTGTCTTGAGCCCTGCGCAAGTTGCTCAGTGGATCGAGAATTGTGCGTTTGATCTGTGTCATCTGTGGATCAATCTGTGCTATAATCACCTGTGCCTGTTCTCTGCGTGTTCTGGACTAGTACACTCTCTCTAGGAGTGTCACTTCAGGGGATTTGCCCTGTGCGGCTGGAATTGCTCTCCAATTCCGTGCCTGAGAATTGCGACTTCGGCTTGCATCTTTGCGGCAGCGACTTGCAGGCAATCACCAAAGTGAACTTTGAGAAATACTTTGCGCTTCACCTTCGACCGACAAATACACATTGTAAGTCTTGCGCGTTGTTGTTTTCGCGGGAGCAGAAAAATCATCGACATGACAGGAAATTGCAGCCTGCTCTTGCGTGGGAAGCTTGCCTGTTTTGATCATGACAAACTGTCAAACTGGCGATTGCCAGATTTGAAGCGCATTTTGATTGTCGACGCCCTCGCACTCATTGTTCCTCAAGATCTTGAAGTTTGTCTACAACGCGGATTTGCGGTCGAGGCACGCGTGTGGGCAAAGCGCTGAGTGCACGTTTGTTTGAAACCATTGAGAACAACAGCAAATAGTTGTCTCACGCGTATGTTGCACGGCCGTATGAAGCTCTCACAACGCTGACGATATCTGAGTCGTCAAAGCTTGCTTGCGTAAGCAGGCACGTAATAAGCTCGCCTAGCTCGGCTGCCCGCTAGCCCTCGCAATAGATGCCGCCGCCGCATAAGCCGTTTCTTGACCTGCAGTAAGAACAACAACCCCAAGCTGCTGAAAATCGTGAGGGTAGTTCTTCGTCATCTTTTTCTCGGAGTCGTCCGCGTCATCTTGAACGGTGCTGGCGGCTGCTTGGGAAAAGGAGCCCGCGTAAGGAGTTCTTGAGGGGAAATGCTCAAAGCGCCGACGCGTAAGCAATGCGTAAGCTCAACATGCTCGCTGACTGGCGTAAGCTAACATGTGGGTCGCGTAAGGAAAGCGCAAGCTCGCGCGTAAGCAACCTGATAAGAGTCGCTCAAATGCAACCTATTTTGTCTAAAGTCAAGAATGTGGCCTGCCTGCGCAGAGCGAAACAAAAATGGATGGCTTGCAATCTGTACCAATTGAATTCCAAGGTAGACTGCTGACTGCTGCAACTTTTGGCTGAGCTGAAGTCGCAGTCTATCTTGTTAAAAGCTGATGAGCAATTGTACCCTCAGGCTCATTTGCCATCAGCTCCGCGCAACCCAGTGGGTTTTATCTGTTCCAACGCGGGAAAGCTCTTCACTTCGACATGAGCCGCGAGTGTGCACAATTAGGACGATCTGGACGACTGCACTTGCCTTGTGGCCTCACATAGCCGTACTGACTTAGCATTTCCTGAGCTCGTTGCACTCCAAGCTGCCAAACGGTCATTGAACTGCTTCGAAAGGCTACACGCCCATCCAACCATTCAACCGGAAAAACAAAAAAAATGGGGAAAACAACGAGAAAAAAACGAAAAAAAAAAAAAAAAAAAAAAAAAAAAAAAAAAAAAAAAAAACACTGAACAACCCAAGAGCCAAGCGGCATCTGCTTCCGGGGGACCGCGGCTTCCACGAGGATACAGCATGGGCTGCAGCTTCTCCGCCTCGATCTTGTCCAGCAGGGGTGTAAAGACCTGCCAGGCGCGCAGCATCTCGTCATCGCGGACAAAGCTCTGCGAGTCGCCCTGGATGGCGGCCAAAATCAAGCGCGTGTAAGCAGAGGGGGTGTAGACGTCGGGATACTTTCGGCAGTATGTCAAGTCCATCTCACTCTGCACGAGATCCGTTGACAAGCCTGGAGACTTCACATTCATCGTCATGTAGACGGCCTGGTGTGGGGAGACTCGCATCACGAGCTCGTCTCGCCTTGGCACGACGTCTTTCAGAACACAGGTGGCTGCAGGCTCCTTGAATTGAACTCGGATCTCGCACTTCGACTCATCAACCGCCTTTCCCGCCTTCACGATGAAATTCACTCCCTTCCAGCGCTCATTGTTGATGCGAACCACCAGCTGGACAAAGGTGGCGGTCCTCTTGGCAGCTTCACGGTCCTCTTCGGGGATGGACTCGTCTTCCAGGTAGCCCGGCTCGCCATCGGCGCCGTCGTACTGACCAAGAACCATGTCTTTGGTATCCGGCACCTCCATCGCCTTTAGCACTTCTAGCTTAGCATCACGAAGGTCGGCACAGGCGCCCGAGGTGCTTGGCTTCTCCATCGCCACCAAGCAAAGCATTTGCAGCAAGTGGTTCTGCACGTTGTCGCGGATGACGCCGTACTTGGTGAAGTAACCGCCTCGGCCCTCAAGGTCGAAGTCCTCTTTCAAGGTGATCCTCACAGATGCCACGTGGTGACGATTCATGAGGGGCTCCAGAAAGACGTTGCCAAACCGGACCTGCTCTGGTTGATCTCGTAGCCCAGGAAATGATCCATTCGGTAGATCGCCTCTTCCTCAAACATGGCCCCAAGCTTCTCCTGGAGCTCGGTAGCTGAGCTCAAGTCATGGCCAAAGGGCTTCTCAACAATCAGCCGTGTGTTGTCTGACATCGCCTTGTTCCTGATGGCCTGAGCAGCACCAGGAAAAACAAATGGGGGGATCGCCATGTAGAAGAGCCGAAGCGTCGGGCCTTCGCGAAGCTTCCCCTCCTCCTCCTTCAGGAACGAATCCAGCTCTGCCATAGATTCGTCACTGTCATAGCTGCCCTTGAAGTAGTGCACCCGCTCCAAGAAGCCTGGAATGCTGTCCCTGAGCTCGGGCATCTCCTTGCATACATGCGAATTCTCCAGAGCTTCGGACACGATGTCATGGAACTCTTCCCTGGTCTTGTCTTTGCGCGCGAAACCCACGATGACCGCGTCCTGCCAGTCCGGACCAGCGGCTGCATCATTCAGCAGTTCGCTCTTTCCAGGGGCGTGACAATTTACCAAACTCCCGCGTATTTCCGGGGTCGTAAGGATTCCCTTGAGCAAAGCTCAACACGTCTAAAATTGAACAAGTTAACAAAACAAACATGCAGACTAGAAAGTCACCGGGGGTCTTCATGAGGATAGTCTGCCCACCTCTTTACATAAGGTGTGCGGTTTTGTTCGCCCGTCAATTAAGCAAACAAAAAGGCTAACCGAGTAAGCTAGCCAAACAGCAAGCAAAGCAAAGCAAAGCAAAGCAAAGCAAAGCAAAGCAAAGCAAAGCAAAGCAAAGCAAAGCAAGCAAGCAAGCAAGCAAGCAAGCAAGCAAGCAAGCAAGCAAGGGAAGCAAGCAAGGGAAGCAAGCAAGCAAGCAAGCAAGCTAGCAAGCAAGCAAGCTAGCAAACGCAAGCTAGCAAAAGCAAGCTAGCAAAAGCAAGCTAGCAAACTAGCAAGCAAGCAAGCAAGCAAGCAAGCAAGCAAGCAAGCAAGCAAGCAAGCAAGCAAGCAAGCAAGCAAGCAAGCAAGCAAGCAAGCAAGCAAGCAAGCAAGCAAGCAAGCAAGCTAGCAAAAGGAAGCAAGCTAGCAAGCAAGCAAGCAAGCAAGAAAGCTAGCAAAAGGAAGCAAGGAAGCAAGAATTAAGCAAGCAAACTAGCAAACTAGCAAGCAAACTAGCAAGTAAGCTAGCAAGCTAGCTAACTTGCTAAGAACACTAGCAAAGGCAAGCAAGCAAGCAAGCAAGCAAGCAAGCAAGCAAACTAGCAAGCAAGCGAGCGAGCTAGCAAACTAGCAAGCAAGCAAGCAAGCAAGCAAGCAAGCTAGCTTGCTAAGAACACTAGCAAAGGCAAGCAAGCAAACTAGCAAGCAAGCGAGCAAGCTAGCAAACTAGCAAACTAGCAAGCAAGCTAGGAAGCAAGCTTGCTAAGAAAACTGGCAAAGGCAAGCAAGCAAGCAAGCAAGCAAGCAAGCAAGCAAGCTAGCAAGCAAGCAAGCAAGCAAGCGAGCAAGCTAGCAAGCTAGGAAACTAGGAAGCAAGCAAGCAAGCAAGCAAGCAAACTAGCAAGCAAGCAAGCAAGCAAGCAAGCTAGCAAACTAGCAAGCAAGCAAGCAAGCTAGCAAACTAGCAAGCAAGCAAGCAAGCAAGCAAGCAAGCAAGCAAGCAAACCAGCAAACCAGCAAGCAAGCGAGCAAGCTAGCAAACTAGCAAGCAAGCTAGCTAGCAAGCAAGCAAGCTGCCAGAAGAACGCCAACACCAGGAACGACGTCCTCCAACATTCCGTGGCCAAAGAGGTCTAGCAGCGCTGGGAACGTCTCCACCTTCGCCAAATCCCCTGTGGCGCCCATCACCGTCATCGCCAGTTTCGGCCTTTGGTCCTTGTGGTCCTTTTGGTCCTTAGCCACAAAAGGCTTCCACCAAACCACCTATGACGTGACCACCATCAGGCACCTTTAGTTTTCCCAAATCCGCGGTTTCAGAAGCCTTGGCTTGTCCTAGTAAAGGCTTCACCTGAACCCCAAGAGCTCCCATGCAAGTTCGGCAAGTCGCCAAGTTCGACTGGGATGAAACCGCGCACGCCAACAAAAACCAGTTAAGCAACTGCGCGAAACAACTCCTCCGAGCATGCTGAGCTGCTTACGCAGCATCTACTTCCAACGAAAACGTGCTTACGCCGGCTTACGTGCGATGGGTTTGCTTTCGCGGGTCCATCGCGGGCCTCCGCAGTTTGTGCCGCCATGGCAATGCGCCGCGCCCGCACGCCGCGGCCTGCTTGCACCTGTCGCAACGGAGGTAGCCGAACACAACACATTCTTGTTCGCAAACCATGACAACTGTGAGAAGAATTTTAAAACCATTCAATGATGCTCAATACCATGCGCTTGAGACTTGGAGCCCCGGCAAAAGCAGACAGGGCTGCCGTTGCAAGGCGAGGAGGGGCGCCGCGGGCGCCGCTGCCCAAGCCTGCGTGCAAGTCTTTTGAACTCCGCCCCGCGCAAGTTCAGGAGAAGGAAAGTGCAGAAATCAAGCAGGAACCCCTCAGTCATGAAGCTCATCCTGGAGTCTCAAACAGCATTCAAAGAAGCGCCATGACGCAACAAAGGCTCGCAAGTTTCCCACGAGTTGGGGCAGAATTCCGACTTGGGCACCTGTGATCATGGATCTTTTCAGAGAGAGGAGCCCTTCACTGCTTGCGCTGCTTGCGCCTCTGCGTGATCCCTGCGCGCGCTCCACAGGCGCGCAGACTCGCAGAGGCGGCGCGATGCCCCGGGCGATCGCCAGCCGCGCCATGGCCGGGCTAGCCAAACGCTCGCACAAGTAGCTGCCTTTCTTGAGGGTTTGGCTTTCGCAGGGCCTTATGACGCAACTCTTGCTTGGGATGTAAGGGGAGGTTTTTAGAGCTGCTCATTTGTTGAGAAGCTCAAGCAACACACCTGCCAATGCAGAATCTGCAAGCATCAACACACACAGCGATTTTGGCAGCTTGGGCCTAGGCTGCAACTTGAGGCTCCAGCGAAGCAAAAACTCGAAGACCCAAACTACATCCCAGAGCGCCGCATTCGCTCAGCCCTCGCCTCCGGCAAGAACTTGTCGTATTCGTGTGACCCCGGCGGCTCAGTTCCTGCGAGTTGCGGCGCAGAGCTTGGCGGCAATGCCGAAACTGGTTTGGAGGGACCCAAGCGCTTCTTCGCTTTTTCAGGTCTGCCTTCCCACACAGCTTTCTTCTCACCCGCAACCTTCTGCAACATATCCAAACCACCGCTCCCATGCTATGTTGGGACTGCGATGAGATCCCAAGCGGCAGTTGCCCCATGCAAACCCTGCCCACAAAACTCATCCAGTTTTTTTTGTTTGGTGGGCTGCAGTCGTTCGGCAGCAAGGATCATGTTTTGGCTCACGTCACTGGCAGGCACGAAGAAGAACCTAGCTTTTGTTTGATGAGGCCTGTAGGCTTATTTCACTCCCAATTCCTTCCAAACCCCCGTTGGCAGCCGCTAACGACAACTTCGCCTAAGGCGGGCTGGTGCGATCGCTGGGCGTCATTGAACTCCAGCTTGCCAAACTTTGCTCGAGGGAATTTTGGGCGGTGCCCGGAACGACTGCGACGTTGTTATGTTGTGCGCTTGGCCAAAATTGTCATCCTCCAAAGCGATGAAGTCCTGCAAATTTTGAGCGGGTCAGAAATCGCGTTGCTCACGCTTCAATTAATCGGCCGCTTGTAGGCGAGCCCTGTGAGCAATTGGTGTGTCAGTTGATTTTGATTTTGTTCACTCTTGTAGAAGGCCGGCTGCCGTGACAGTCCGAGGGCTGAGTCAAAGTCAAAGTCTGAGGCTGCCGCCAGTGGCCGTGCCAGGAGCTGTGACATTACGAAGCCTGCTCCCGCCATACGGACCAGGACAGGTGCCAGTCCGAAGTTGCCAATGGCCAGCTGTCACAGGCCGAAGCTTGAGGGCTCGGCCAGTGGCCAAACAACTGCGACGCGAAGACTCAGGCGTGGGCCGAAGCCAAATTAGTTCAGGCTGCTGACGTGACGTTTTTCAGAACCAGGTTTACAAGCGCTCCAAGTACAGTTAATGCAAGGTTTCGACGCCCAAGCTCCCCAGGATGAGCGCTTACACTTCGATCCGGTTTTGGCAAACTTTGATTGATCCACGTAAGCTGACTTTCAGTTGCCATCCACGCTGGATGATGTGTCCTTGCAGCTTGCCGCAAGTCTACACCTGTCGAGAAAAACTAAAGGACGTGGAGAGTGCTGGACGAAATGCCTACTATACTATCAATCGGCAAGAGATGCCTGAGAATCAGCATTCTTTTCACTGCAGAAACGTGAATTCGGGAACAGCTAAGGCTGCTCTTGATTTGGGGTCAACTCTGCCTTGGTTTCATTTAGGCTTGACTGAGCTTCTTTGCTGTGCGCATCAGCCAGCAGCATGTTTGAGGCCCCGTACGCAATCGCATGTGGCTGCAGCCTAGATTAACCAAGCAAGTTTCGATTGTGGGATTGTTCGAAGAAAGCGATTCTTCTCCTGGGCTTAGTCCAAGCTGAAAACTTGCACCAATACTATTTGGGGGGACGTTGGCAGTGAACATTTGAGGGTACAGGTTGGCTTAGGGTTGTGTTCAGCTGTCTTCAGGTTTGGGTTGCAGGTTGGGTTTCGTGTTGGTTTAGAGTTGGCGAAGGCTTGATTTAGGCTGGGATACGGGAAAGCTTTGGGTATCGGTTCAAGCTGATATTCATGTTTGTTTTGGGAGGCTCGGGATAAGTGCTCGAATCAGCGCGTCTCAAGTGACCGGCCATGAACCCACCTCGTCGGCGCAGGATTTGAAACCTCTGTGAACCCAGAGCTTCTTGCCACTCCTGCCGCTGGTGCGCGTTGCAACCATAGATGTCCTTTTGGTTGTTTTGTCGATTCCTGGTTTACCTGGTGGTTTAATCATCTACCAGAGAAACCCATCT